GCCAGGCAGAGATAATACTGCTTGTAATAAGTGTCCAAACCAAGTGCTGAAGGCTCCTTAGCAGCTAGGTTTTTTATTAAGATAGCACCCTAAAGCACACAACTTCAGTGAATTTATGAGAAAAAAACTATGTTACAACATTCTAAATCTTGAAATCAACTGAAAGACAAAAAGTAAGCAATGAAACCTTGGTGTCATCAAAACAACCACGGGCCAAAACTACCTGCATAAATAAGGACTCCAAATAAAATGAACTTTGTAGACAGGCATCATGCACAAGAGTTTTGCATAGAAAGCACAACCATGGGAAAAAATGTAGGGACACAGAGATAGTGACATTACTTTCTTGACCGAACCATAAAATCTATCAACCAATTCTGTAACTGCAGCTGTAGAATTGGATGCAAACTTGTCTGGAGGAATAATGATCACGATGGGATCATAGAAATGCAGTAACGTCTTTGTGTTTTGATATGAACTGCTAGTTTCAATATATTGAGAAAGATGCAGTGAAGCTGACCTCAAATCAAAAGCGGCTAATCCAACCTGTCCGATAAAAGATTCCAGTTAGGCAGGCATTATAAATTTCGTTTATTTATCTGAAACAAGTTCCTTAATCTGTTAGAAAATTCATAAAGAAATGGTTTCAGCTTTTTAAAAAAAAAAATTATATCCATTCTTTATCAAATTATGTTAGAGAATAATATAAACCATTAAAAACACTTTCACCCAACACAAAAATATAAAACATGGGAAATTCAACAGGTGCGCCCCCATTCTTTATTATGATAACCAACATAACACCACGTAAAGCTCCTTTGTACAATTCTTTTTGAACATCTGTGATCTTCCTCAGCACACTACAAAATTCCTTACAGCCAAAAGTCCCATTGTAATGGTCATAATTCATAAATTACCAGAAGAAAACTTTTTACTCTTAACGATAGAGTTTACAATCTGACTTGTTTCAAGTTTAGGAACATTTAGTAGCAAGGGATGCATTAGATATCTTTTCAAAATCAAATAACATGTTCAAAATCAAAATTCATTATGATATTAATCAATCCACGACATAACCCCTTTCTAAAATGCAAGATAAGATTGATTTTCCTCACTCTTATCTTAACAAGTCGGGATTCAAGGAGGAATGGTTTTCTTTGGTTAATAATATTATTAGAAAATTATAAGAGGGGAAAAGGGGGAGAGAATTGAATGTAATAAATAGTTGACTGGCAGATTACTACAAAGTAGAAACCTGGTAATAACAACTAGATATAAGTATCACGAAATGAAAAAAAATGGAGAAAACATTAAATATGTTCCATTAGTGACAATCAAATATGGTGATTCATTGAGTTAGCTTCACAATATAATAATAAAAGTGGCGTTCAGCTTTACTTGAAAAAATTTGAACACCAAAAGGTGCATGTGATCTTGGCCGGTTACAGATAGTCCAGAATAACCAGTAAGAATTTGGGAGAAAACTAAACGATAACAGAATACACAAACTTAAAACGCATTTTACACATTCTGATACGATTAAAACTGACCTCCATATTCACATGTCCTTCACAAAATAACGAAATACGTGGATATGAAACTAATTTCCAACTCCAGTAACACAAATCGTATATTAAACAGCAATGCTGCACTCAGTGACATTACAATTAAAAATCAAATCTAGATTTGTGTTTCTAACGCATGCTTGATTGAAATTCCTACCACGTATAGATCAATAAGAACATTTAAAACCGCAACACAATCCTGGAAGTTATAGGAACTTCGAGCAATCAATCTAGAAATACAAAAATTTGAAAACCAAACAATAAACAACTAGGAGAAAGGCCTTGATAGTTTGCTAAATCAAATAGAAAACTTGAAGCAATTGTAAAATGAAAAGGAATTGAAGAGAGAAAGAGAACACAAAAATGAATTTTCCTTTATTACACTGAAAATGGAAAATGGAAAAAATGTTTATCAAAGAATCGAGTATCAAAACCTCTTTAGCTCTATTTTCGATGATACCGACCACGAAGCTGGAACTATCTCCACTATCGTCTTCCATTGTTGCCTGGTTTCTATTTTCAGCAAAATTTGCTTTCTGCTACAACTCGAGCCGATACTTATAGAGCGTCGTTTTATGATGCTACGTTAAATTTGGACGGGTTCCATTTATAAGCGGGAACTGAGAAGTTTAACTAGATAACTTCAAAATACTTAAAAAATAATTTTAAGAAGACCATGATACCAAAAAAAAAAAAAAAAATTCTTTTGAGCTGGTTATATTATCTACTTATTTAATACTTTTATCTCTAATATCTTTTTAGAGACACGTGGCATAATTCGCTACATTGTGCAGCAAAATATAATTGCAAATAATCGCTCCACAGTGTAACGAATTAGGCCATGTCAGGCTGCACAGTCAGCAAAAATGACACGTGTCAAGCAGGCAGTAATTCGCTACACTGTGTAGCGAATTATGCTTGGATAACTACCTGCTTGACACGTGTCATTAGTGCTGATTGTGCAGCCTGACATGGCCTAATTCGCTACACTGTGTAGCGAATTATTTGCAATCATATTATTTCGCTGCACAGTGTAGCGAATTATGCCACGTGTCATTATGGGAAAATTTACTGTTGGCATAGCAGTCTAGTAAATATTTTGACCAGACGTGACAAAATGTTTACTGTTCCAACTTTTTGTTATGGTAAAAAAAAAAATTGGTAAACTAAATTGGATTTAAAGAAAGGAAAATTATACTTTTATATTGTATGAGATTCACCTCTTATGTTACACTCACGTACAAAAAATACACTCCCCTTATTTAAAAATAAAAATAAAAATTAATGGGTCTCACTTTATTAGAAAAGTAAAGATCTTAAATAAATAATCGCAAATACCTCAAAATTAAACAAAACTTAAACAGATACATGGAGAATACCACACTCCATTTCTCGCTTTATGTTTTTATCTTTGTTTTCTCATTGCTATTGCATTTGTTGAATGTGAATAAACTTTCTTACACATATTTTTGACTCTTTCCTTATCATTTTAGGTTTTCTAATTTCATAATTTCTAATTTATTAATATCTATATATGCATGAAACAAAAAAATTTACAGTTAAATTGTTTCTTGTTTGTATTTTAGTTTAATTTATTTTTCCTTGTAATTAATTGTGTACTATTTTTCTATGTAACAAGACCAGTTTTTTTTTTTCTAATGTGCTGTTACTTCAGAAGTTTTTTCTCATGCCATAGGCCCATTGTTTTGCATGCATCACTTTTTTATTTTATTTTTGGGAAATAATTTTCTTATGTTGTAGGAAAAAGTTTCTCTCGTGTAATAGAAATAAAATTATAAGTGAGACTCACAGGTAAGAGAGGAAAAATACAGGTGGAGAAGAACTATTGTCCAAAAAAATTTCTCTCATTTTCCTTGTAATTTCTTTGTGTTTCATTTATGTATTAAAAAAAAAACTATTGTCCAAAATGAAAATGAAAATTGGCACTATCTGCCCTTTTTTTTTTTGCTTCGCCACTTTCTCAACCATGTTTACCACCTACGAGATAACTGAGACATTTTTTCACCACCTCAACCATCCCCAAGAATCTCATATATAACTAAATAGTGCCCAAGAGGGACTACCTTCGGCAAATGGCATATTTTAGTCCGACAGCATTCACCATTTTCAAATGTTACACACACTCCTGATTCATAATATCAAACTATAGGCTAGAGATTTTGTACTTCCCAATACCAATAATATTTACCTCAGCTGTGTAGATACAATCACTAACTCTTCATCTAGAGATTCTTGATTCACCTACTAACCCCATTCAACTTGAAAAGGTGTTAATTTTTACGGCCTATCTAACCACCACCCCCAACTCTAATCATATAAATAAAATTACTTGATAAAAGTTATTTTTTTTACCCAAACAAAAAAAATTACTGATAAGATTCTTTTTGAAAGTGATATTATCTTTTAAAATGAATAAAAGTGTATTACTAATTAATTTAATTTAAAATATTTTCCATGAAGTCTGCAATTTACTCCATCACCACCGTTCAACATCATCGTTTTCACTCCGATTTGATGGCTTATCTCCTATAAGTTTTCTGGGCTTTGTCTTCATTGACTCAGTCTGTCTCCTCCCATTCTTAAAAAATTTTATACAAAATTTTTACATGAACTGTTTATTTACTTCTCTTCGTATCCATTAAATAAGTGAGATTCAATAAAAAATTACTTTGGGCTAAATAGTTTGAATAAACATTTTGTGTTTCATTTATGCACAAATTTCGAATCACCTTTTTCTTAAAAATTAAGAACCTTAAAAAAATGAATAAATTAACAGGTCTTAATATCTTAATGTATATAAATTGATTAATTTGACTCAACGATCTAATCAACTTAGCATGAATTAATTTGAGAACATGAGTTGGATTAAATAATTGATTTTATTTTTTGCTTAACTTGATTCTTTTTAAAATAAATTTATTAAATAAATCATTTTTTAAGAGCCTTTTTTTTTAAGTGTCCCTCGATTTATTTTTTAAAATTGGAATTTTAAAAAAGTTATTTAATAATTGAAAGAAAGAAAAGAAGTGAGAGATTATAGTTACAACTTTTTTTTTTTACAACCATATATTATAACCGTTGATTTTTGCCAATTAACGGTTATGATTTTTGCAAATTAAACTCATTAATTAATTATTAATTTATAATAAATAACAATCATTGATTGACGGAAATCAACGATTATGATATATGATTGTAAGAGGTCGTAAGAAAAAAAAAAGTTGTAAGTATAATTTTTTTTGTTCAAATAATTATTTATTTAATAATTTTATCCCAAAAGGGTGTTTAGGGATACGAGATTACGAGGTACCAGTTTCTTAAAAAGTCTTGTGTTAGTGTAGACATTAGAGAGAAACATCGCTGTCCTCTTCATTCTGAAAACATTTACATTTACTCTACGCCGCGCCTCCAAAAATGAAATACAGGGTTTCTCACAGATTCCCTATACTCCCTCACCATACACGTTCCCTTAACCAGATTCGCTCCTTCACCAAAAGGTTTCAAAAACCTCAAGCTCGCCCTTCTATCAATGGGGGAAGTGGAAATTCTCAAGGTCAGTTACTTCTCCACTCACAACTGCAGTCTCATGTGTCTTCTTGCCAAACCAAGCTAGAGGAAATAAAAACTCTCACAAAACCGTTTTGTTAAATGCTTCGTTGATTGCTGAACTATGATAAGCTACATGAGTGATTTTTTTTAAGAGAATTTTGTGTTGTGATAGCCATAATCTTCACGAGGAAGCAAATCTAGAAATTGTAGTAGATTTTCAGAGTACTAAATATCTTGTGATTTTCATATTTTATGTTACATTTCATTCATGTTCAGAAGCTTTGAGCTTATTGCTATGACTGTGTGCAGGGGATTCTTTTCTTGTACCTGGGGCAACCGTAGCTACCATACTTATGCTTGGTGTTCTTCATGCCCGACGACTGTATGATGACAAGAAGGTACACTTTTGATAACTCATAATGCATACTGAGTTAGTCTAGCTGGCAAGGGTAACTTTTTTGGTTGCGCCTCTGATTCTTTTAGCAACATCATTGGTCACTTTATTTTTTTCCCTCTTACCTGTAGTGGCTCAGATAGAATTGCAGCTCCCCCTTTTCCTGCTTAACCAAGCCTCACATGCTACTCCATGTTTATTTACTGGTTTATCAAGTAGTAAAGTATAATTGCTGAGTGATTGATCATTAGCATTAGGCCAGTCATGTTGACTACTCCTTTTTCTTATACGTCTATTGTTGTTTGGGAACACTACAAGAGCAGAGAAAATAATGAAAAATAAAAATTGTTCTTTAATAGTCAAGACATATGAGAAGTTGAATCTTTATTCCTGGTAGAGATTTCTACCGGTCCTATGTGAGGCCTTCTGTTTATGCCACACATTAAGCTGTGTTTCCAGCCATGATACTAGAATTTTTTCATGTGCTTTGCTTATTTTATTGAATTTAGTGTTTTTGTTATCTGTTTGTCAATTGAATCCTTGTATGATTTGTAGTTTACAAACTATAAAATAAATTTGTTTATCCTTGTGGCAGACTGAAGAGATGCGGGAGAAAGGAATTGAGTTGGAGTTCCAACCTGATGTAAAGGTATAATTTTTCATTTACCCCTATTATTCCCTCTCCCTTAAAGGAGGGGGGGAAGAACAGTTGAATTGTTGTTTGTTTGTTTGTGTGTGTGTGTGTATCATTACACTTGGACAGTTTTAGTTCTGAGACGTGCTATGGCCTTGTCATCACTAGGCTACATTTTTGAGATTACTGCCTCTACGTTCAATTTCTAGATGTTGGGGATACTTGACACGCATGGTAAGAAATCAACTCAATCTTTGAATATCCTTGTTTTTTTATTTATACTTTTTGAGCTGTAATTTTAATGTTTATTTGCAAATTGTTACTCTTCTATTGCTACTGGCCGTAAGAATACAGAGAAACAATATTCCGAGTAATGTAAGTATAAGAACTTGATGAAGAAATAAACAATTGACTTTTTAATCAAACAAACCATATTTTTGACTTTTTAATATGTGAAAAAAAAAATATTAGAAGGAAAGGAAGGAAAGTGTATAATAAAGGAGGACAAGCTGAGCCGGGCTACTAATCAAAAAAAGAAAGTACAAGAAGATTAAAAGATGCAACATATTTTTGAAGACTTTTTAAGTATATTTTTACTATAATATTTCTCTCTCTCGTTTTATCAAATCAAGCCTGACTCTATAAAATTTGAAAATGATTTATGGTCCCCATTGTCTGCAGTTTTGTGTGTTTTGCATGTTATATTATATGTATGATTTTACCTATTCATGAAAAAATTTCAGGAAATTCCAGTGTGGTTAAGGCCATATGTCTATAGAGCTTGGGCTCGGGCATTCCATTCAAGTATGAAAGTTTTTCCGTTTTTATGATAACATTTTCTTCTTTTCATTATAATATGCTCCTATAGCCATCATGTCTTAAACTGGCTGAATTTGTTCAAGATAAACAATGATCTAGAATTTGTGTAAATATGATCCTAATTCCTAATTCCTACTGACATCTCAGATTTAGAAGAAGCTGCTTTACCTCTAGACAAGTATGCCTCTTTAAGGGATTTTTTTGTTCGCACTCTGAAAGAAGGTTCCAGGCCTATCGATGCTGATCCACAATGTCTGGTAACTGGTAACAGCTATTTGGAAATCTCAAACATCTTCGTTTATACCATTTTCAGTTGATACATAACCTGTTATTTTCCGCAGGTTAGTCCTGTGGATGGTACAGTTTTAAGATTTGGGGAGTTGAAGGGAGCAGGGGCAATGATTGAACAAGTGAAAGGGTTTTCATATTCTGTTTTTTCCCTTCTTGGTGCAAGCCCTTTCCTTCCAACAACAGCTGATGATCATGTGCAAGAGGAGCATAGTGAATCAATAAAAACTACTGAGAAGTGCAAGAAATCATGGTGGAGAGTTTCATTATCTTCTCCAAAAGTTTGGGACCCAACTTCATCATGGTAATTTGATGTTGTATTTATAATTGCCTTCTGCTGCCAATGTCTTACTTCATCTGGTTGTAAGCATTTGCATTTAAATAAGATCTGTTTATTGAAGAAAATCACTGATAGATATATTTATCTTCTAACCTACTTAAATTAACTCATAAATCTTCATCATGTATCTGCTGTTAATTTTTTATCACAACGCATATGATAATTGATTTTGTAAATATCGTTTGAGTATTTACAGGTAGGTTTAAACTTGTTCCAGCTTCCATCCTACGATGGCTTCAAATAATAGAAACTCGTGATTTGGCAAGCTTGGTGTCTAGTTGTAATTGAAATCTGAACTATTTGACTAAATGGGATAAGGGGACTGAGGGTGCCATAAAACCTTTATAATGAAAAAAACCCTTTTCTCTTTTAATTAAAAATAACAATTTTTTTGTCATCTTTTCAAGAAATGAGTCTTGCTTCTTTTATGTATGTTTCTCATTATTATTTTACAATCATAAAGCAAACTTAAGAGTAGATTGAACTACATAACATGCAAATGTTATATCTCAACACGCCAAGTAGTTGCATAGTTCAGATGCATACATTTCATATTGGTATTTATTATGTCTATTACCAAAAATGTAACCTTTTCACCTCAAATGCGTATGATTGTTTTTTGCTGATCTCTGGCCCACCAAAACCAATGTATCTGCTATGTATTTTATTATTACAGAAACTGAATGTAATGCATTACAGTCCATACATCATTGAAATTTTCCATTGCAGTCCAAAGAGAGGCCTTTTTTATTGTGTGGTTTACTTAAAGCCTGGAGATTACCACCGGATACATTCCCCAGCTGACTGGAACATTCTTGTACGCAGGCATTTTTCTGGTAAACCTTCTCATGCAAACCTTGACAGTCTAACAAATTGAGAGTAAAACCTCGTGTTAATCTGTTTTGACTTGGTTTGTGTCTAAATCACTTAACCCCTGGGATTTATTGCTATGAGCAAATAGAAACTGTTATATCCCATATTGATCCAAAGATAGAGGCTCAATATGGTACCTGAGCCCTGAGATTCTCCCACTCAATAGGCAAGTTTTTTGGGATGGGTTCTCCTTTTGGGCTTGAGTCATTGCAATTGGTGCTTCCACCAAGAGTTGGCTGGCTCAAAGGGGGCGACTTGGAAAGGAGTGACCTAGGAAGGAGCAATCAAGGGATACTTGCAACATAAGGGTCACTGTGAATGCCACCCTGTGTCGATGCCAAAAGTGGCCATAGCAAGCGTGACTTTTGAAAGGGTGTGCAATGTTATGTCATGCATTGAGCAAATAGGTTCAATGTGGTACTTAAGCCACGAGGCTTTCCCACCCAATAGGATAGTTTTTTGCGATGGGCTCCTACGGGCTTTAATTTCCAAACAGATTCAATATAAACAACACCTTGGTAAGCAATTTCCAGAAGGATTGTGGGGGTGAAAATTCGTTTCCATGATAGTTCATCATATATGATACTGCCTATCTTTGTTAGTCCTTGAGTTGAAGAAAAACTAATTACTCACATAGTCATGAACTCTTCTGTTTATTGTAAACTACCAAATAAATTCTACCAGTGATCATTAGGAATGTACCCTGCAAGGAAACAATGAAACGCTTCATCATAACTTGCTCATGTGACTTATTTCTTTCAAATTGTTTTTCTTTTTTCTTTTTTTTTTTAAATTCAGGGAACCTTTTATGTTTGATTACTGATGGGTACAGTTGCGGTTTTTTAGATTGAGGGTGGACAAGTTTTTGATTAAGCTCTGCAAATCAAAACTACCTCTTCATTATGTATATTACGAAAATAATCACTGGAACCAGTAGGAGAAAATAATGAAGTAGAACTGTAGATTTTCAAGTTTTGCATGTGTTGATTATCTTGTAGCACACCAATTAATTAGTAATTAGTTTTATTGCATTGTATTTTCTGTTTGATTTATTGCTTATTTTCCAGGCAGGCTTTGTCCCATGAATGAACGTGCTACAAGAACAATTAGAAACCTCTATATTGAGAACGAGAGGGTAATTTATATCTGATTGCCATGAGCAATGTCAGCGTATTGCGCCTATCTTGTATTAGCTTTCCTTTCAAGGCCTCATGTTTCTATTTATCTATTTATTTATTTTTGCGACTTAAATAGAAATTGAACTTAAGACTTATATCTTAATTCCGCTCCACTGTAATTGCTTGAGTTATATCAGAGTGGCTGATCTATAACTTTACATAGAAAACTTCTGCTTTTTAAAAAAAGAATCTATTTGATGAAAACAAAGGAGAAGCTGTTCCACTTGTTGTCTAAGTACTAGGAACTCTTTCTCTGAATTTCCCTATTTTTCTCATTTGAATATCTTTTTATGGAAATAATCACATTATTATGAGCTTTAGTTGTATTATGATGTAGTTGTAGGTATGAGTGGCATCCCATCTAGGTGTACTCAGCCCTCCATATAAACTCTGGGAATTTCCCTAATTTTGTCTTTCGCCCTTGTCTTGTCTTTATTTTGGGGACAATTACTATGAAATACCAGTGGATGAACTTATTTGTGAAGAAGAACCCATCAACCATCTGGTGAATCCTGTCGTAAAATGGTTAATCATTCACAACTTAATAACAGGATTAACAGTTCAACTTATTTACTTTTCCAATTCTCAAGTGATTTGATTTTTATTCATGACACTGGTTAAAGTGTTTCACTCTTCAATTTATGATCACCCACTGTCTATTGACTATAATTTGTTCAGGTTATTCTTGAAGGTCTATGGCAGGAAGGATTTATGGCACTTGCTGCAATTGGAGCCACAAATATTGGGTCAATTGAGGTTTGTCCATAGTTCCTTAAGGATGTAATAATAGTAATCTAACGTCCTTAGTAAAAACATGAGCAACTTCCCGTAAGCCCATTGTCTGGGATATATTGGAAAGGGTTAGCAACGTTGGGAAAAGACTAAAATAGTTTCTAGTTTAGCAAATCATACTGGAAACAACCAATTCAATCCAAAAGCTTAAGTTGTTAGGTGAGGGCCTTTTTAATGGTTTGTACTATTCTTTAACATGTCCTTTCACACGAGAGCTCACTGGGCTTGAAAGGTGAACAATGCACAAATCCACCTATCCTGTGCTAAGAAACTCTACAAGACTTAATTAATTATTAATTAAATGAGAGGCGGTGAGAATCGAACCCGTGACATCGAGGCTTAGTATCATATAAAGAACTAATTCAACCTAAAAGCTTAAACTGTTGGATGAGGGCCTTTTTAATGATTTATACTATTCTTTAACACCTACTTTTCTTTCCCAATAAGTTCACTGAACATGCTATACAATAAACATGCATATATCCCTGTCTATATTCGCTTGCATGGATCAATATTAAGTTTCCTTTTTAAAGATAATGATACCAAAAATAAAAGCCAGCAGACCCAATTTTTACATATAACCCATTGGCGGGGATGACTTATTTGTATTTACAGTTGCTAATATCATGTCATTCACTGGCTTTTTCATTAATGACTTTAGTTACTCTGACATGGCAGCTTTCCATTGAACCCGAACTTCGGACCAACAAGCCAAGGAAGAAGTTTCTACATTCAGAACCTCCTGAAGAACGGGTTTACGAATGTGAAGGTGTTGGTAGAGTTCTCAATAAAGGGGATGAGGTTAGAAGTGTGATTTAATTGACTTTTAGAACTTGCTGGATTCACTATTACAAATTGAAGTAAACAGAAACTACAATATTTATATAACTACCAAAGAGATTTATAATTGAATAGATACTTGGAAAAACGTATAAGTTGTTTTCTTTGATTTCAAATAAGTACAGAGATTGTAAAGGTGCTGTTGAATTTCCGTTCCTTTTTGTTCATCGTACTTCAACTACTTCCGAGCTATCAAATAAATAGATTTGGTATAATGTAATTCACTATTTTTTAATCCCCAGATAGGTGCTTTCAACATGGGATCAACAGTTGTTCTTGTTTTCCAAGCTCCAGTTTCAAAACTGCTCAACGAGGGCAATTCATCACAAGAGTTCGAGTTCTGCGTCAGTTCTGGGGATAGAATTCGTGTTGGTGAGGCTCTAGGGAGGTGGCATAGTTCGTGACAAGTTGATTTTGTCTGCGGTTTCATTATATTTGTGAATATACGCTGTCTCAGGCTGTTGAGTTTAAAAAAGTATTTTCCACATTCTGCTTGGAAAATCTTTAGCACCTCATACCCGAAACTATGATTAGCAATTGATATTTAATGGTATATGGATATTTTGACGATGTTGCTCTGTATTATTGCTGCATCTAGAAAGCATCGAGCTTTTGTGTAGATCCTCGAGTAATTAATTCCAGCACAAAGTTGTGTTACAAAAACAAATTTCAACGCAGATTTCAGACAATAATGTGTGACGAAATTGGGACTTTTTTGAGGTTTGGGATTCTACAATAACCCTTTGAGTATAAATAAAATTGCAATTTAAAAAATGACCCGTGCCATGCTCATAACCCGTACCATGCTCATATCTATACAATAACCCAAAATATCCAATCCAAACAGTACCATCATTATGTTAGAAGAAAACAATGTTTGCATGGACACTTATTTCCGCGAGTACTATAAGTAAGATATGCACAATATTGAAATTTAGGAGTAAAAATGGAGTGAAAGCCCCATGTATAGTGAGTTCATAATCAACAAACCACTAAAGAGAATTGGGATTGGCATCGACAATTGAACTAATTGTTGATATGTCTATATAGATTAAACAAAACTTTCTAATCCATCTAAATCCACAAAATCCGAGCCCTTCATTTCATCATCACGTGTCTATATCAAAACCTTGTTCCTGGAATAGCAACACAACAAGTGATTTTTAAGGCGAAACACGAAACCTGAAAGAAAGAAAGAAAGAAAGAAAGAGAAAGGGAAAACCTACGTCTGTTTGGAAGGCACGCGCTTGTTTCGGAGCATCATGTAACCGACGGGAAATACGACTCCAATCATCATAATGGCAGCTCCGACTAAGTATCTGAGTGGGCTTGGTGGGCCCACCTCTATGAACGTCCTAATCTGCATCATCAAACCCAAAAATTGATCATGCAATGCTCAAATCAAAATCAAAATCAAAATGCGTGGTGGTGAATTGAAAACCCTAAGAACATTTTATCATTATTTGATCTTCTTTGGAACCAGATCGAGACCAGACCACGAATAGGGACTTACAGGCATTCTCTATCGACTGTCGATGTGAGAGTACGAAACAGAAACGGAAAGGAAACGTGGCGTTGAGATCCATTACCTTTTTGCAAAGTCATAAAAAAAATTAAAATAAATAAATAAATTTATTCTACGTGTGTACTTTAATTAAAAAAAAAAATATTACGGTAATTATCTGTGTGTGCAATTTATTTTTTTCTATAATGTCATTAAAATTGGTAATAAAATTTGATAGTTGATGAAATAAATAACACCAATTAAAAGTTTAAAACTTTATAAAAATAAATTATGCCAGTTAAAGTTTCAAAGAAAAAGATATCTGTTCAAATATAATTTTTAAAACTTGGCGTAATATTGATAATAGTGTTAGAAATGCTTCCTGTAAAAGCATAAGTTTGATTCAGATAATTTATTCAGTTTATAAAACATTTGCGAACGTCAATTTACGCAAATAACATTTGGTCATGAATTTGGATCCCTCCTAATTTTAATAACAATATATGATTTAGGGTTTTTTTTTTTAAGAAAAAAGACAGAGGAAAAGATAGCATAGCAAATCAACTGGAATGACAATTAGTCTAAAGAGATGATAAAAAGATAGTGTTAGAATGGACATCAGCAATGAAAGAGCTGAGATGGACATCAGCCTAAACAACAGTGTTGAGTGTTGCATATAGCATAAAAACCGATAGAGCCATTATAATTAAAATATTTCGCAAATCAAACCACAATCGATATAAATGCTCCCCTTTAAGGGGAGACCAAAAATAAAGTTAAATAATGACAAAACCAAATACAAGCCACACAAATGTAAAAATAAAATCAAATAAACATAATCTACGTGGTAAAACACTATATGGAGAGCTGAATCCATTCATGGAGGATAAAGGTTTCTACTTATACCATGTTAAAAGGTAAAAGAGAAAAAAATTTGATTGTTAATTTCAGTCTCTTATCTTTTAAAATGTATATTTTTTAGTCTTTGGACATTCTTCGGTATTAAAATTCTTTTGACATCTATATTGGGCTAATTGTAAATAGTCAAATATATCAAAAGCTTAATCTTTTTACTATGAAAAAACATCTTCAAAAAGATTTTTCCTTCAACAAGAGTAGTGTTGCGCAATTCTATTATACAACTGATTTGGAATAAATATAAAAAGCACACTTGTGATAACCCTTCAATATGAAGAAAAGCCCACTTGAAGCCTTCTCAAACAAATCTCTCAAACTCAAAAATGCTATTATACATCTTAGCAAGATAACCCCTGCATCTCAACAAGCAAATTTCTTTGCAAACCTTATCTCATACCTCTTATGGAAACCAATTAAAAAACTTTCTTGTCCCACCAGTTGTATCAACTTGCAAGGATATCAACTTGCAGGAATATCCCCCAAAGCTGGACACCCCCTACTATAAATACAAGCAGGCTAAACACAAGGAAAATGATCTTCTTTGACATGAATAAATCTGCTTGAACATTGAAACTGACTTGAGCATCGGAGTGTATTGGATGTGCACCACACCCCCACCTTATTTCAGGAAAGACCTATGGGTTAAAACTGTTGAAGATAGGATTTAATTTGTTGATAGAATTTAGTTTGTTGAAATATTGTTGTAAATTGGATAGGATTGATTTGTTTAGTTGTTTAGATTTATAGAATTTGTTATCTATTTTTAAGTTAGTACTGTTATTGATACTTGTATAAATACCTCAGTTAAAGAGGAGAATAATAAATAAAAAGAGATGTATATTTCCAGGATTAGAATTTTAACATGGTATCAGATGAATTCTTTTCTAATCCTCGGAAGTCATAATCCTTACCTATGTTAGTGAATTATATTTATTTTTTTTCTGAACCGTACTTGAGGACGAAAAGGACTAGTTGAGCTTATAACCGTGTCTTTTTGTCCTTTCCAACCACACAAATTTTGCTCATCTCCTGCGTGAATTTGTTGTCTACCCCTATCAGTTTTTTTTTCTTTTATCTTCTTTGAATTTATTAACCCGTATCCGTATTTGCTTCCGTTTTCTTTTCTTTTTTTCTTTCTCAAATAACACACACCCTAATCTCGAGGAGATCTAATCGGCTATGGGTTCCTCTAAGGAGCGTGAGAACTTCGTCTATGTCGCCAAGCAGGCCGATCGATATGAAGAGATGGTGGATGCAATGAAGAAAGTTGCAAATCTAGATGTTGAACTGACCATTGGAGAGCAAAATTTGCTTTCCGTTGGTTATGAGAATGTGATCGGTGCTCACCGAGCATCATGGAGGAATTTCAAAGAACCGCGCAAGGAGGCACCCTCAGGAAAAACCTTCCAATGTACTCACTGTGGGGATTCGGGTCATTCAAAGAACCAGTGTTATGAATTAATTGGGTATCTCGATTGGTGGGATTTCACCAAACGTCCTCGTCGCAAGGCTGTTTCTACAGCTCTCCTCTCTTCCGATGGTGACTTTTCTTCCTCTCCTCAGACAAATGCTATCTATGAAAAAGTCTTAGGTAATTCTCTTGCTCTCTCTACTTACTCTAGAAATTTGTCTTGGATAATTGATACTGGTGCATCAAATCATATGATTCATGATGCCTCTGTTTTGACTGATTTTTTGCCTTGTGATAAATCTTCTGTTACTACTGCAAATGGTAATGTTGCTTCAATTACGGGTCAAGGAATTTTTGTTTTATCACCTATTATTACCCTGCACTCTGTACTTGTTGTCCCCTCCCTTGAGTATAATCTAGTGTCTGTCATCAAATTGAATTCAGAACTTCATTGTGAAGTATTGTTTTATCCAACGTTTTGTGTGTTTCAGAACCTCCAAACAAAAATGATTCTTGGCTATTGTGTTAGAAAGAACAACCTCTATTTTTTTGAAGCCCCTCATAGTGCATCAGACATAAAGTATAGGGCAACTGTTGTTCATAATTCTAAAAATAAATATCCTACACTATGGCTTTGGCATAGGAGATTAGGACACCCTTCTTTTCCGTATCTGAATAAATTATTTTCTCATTTATTTTCGAATTGTAATCCTTCTGAATTTCATTGTTCTACTTGTGAAATGGCTAAAACCCATCGTATGCCTTTTTATCCTAGTTCAAATAAAAGTGAAATTCCCTTTCAAGTTATTCATTCTGATGTATGGGGACCAGCTCGTGTGTCTTCTTTTTCGAATGCCTTTTATTATGTTTCTTTTATTGATGAATGCACTAGAATGATGTGGATCTCTTTACTGAAAAACAAAAATGAGGTGTTTTCTGTATTTCAAATTTTTCATAATATGATTGCCACTCAATTTAAAACTTCTATCCAAATTTTGCAATCTGACAATGGACTTGAATATAAAAATAAAGCATTTTCTGATTTTTTAAACTCTAAAGGGATCAAACATCAAACCTCTTGTGCATATACACCTCAGCAAAATGGTTTGGCTGAGAGAAAAAACAGGCAATTATTAGAAGTCACTCGAGCTTTTTTATTTGACATGAATGTACCCTCTCACTATTGGGGAGAAGCTGTTCTTTCTGCAGCTTATGTTCTCAATCGAACCCCATCTAGTTCTTTGAAGTTCCTAACTCCTCAACAGAAACTTGAAACCGTTTTTTCAATTCCTCATGTTATGAATTTGGAACCTAAAGTTTTTTGTTGCACTGCATTTGTCCATATTCCAAAAGTTTTACGCACCAAACTCGATCCTTGTGCTAAGAAATGTATATTTTTGGGCTACTCTGACTCCCGAAAGGGCTACCGCTGTTTTGATCCTAAAACCCACAACATGTATGTCACACTTGAAGTCTCTTTTCATGAATCCGAAGGTTACTATTCAGGGGGAGTTTCCTCTTCTTCTTCTCAGGGGGAGATACCTAATACTCGAGAAGAAGAATTCTAGTCTTCTACTTCTATTCCTATCCCTTCTTCTACAGATACTAATCCTCCTTTACATGAGACACCAAATATATCCCACATACCTAAGACCCCTTCCTTGGAAACATCTGAAACACATTCTGAATCTCCTGCCACTGAAACCACTCATGCCCAAAATACAGATCATCCAATCCCACCTGCTATTGAAGTCATTTCTGTCCAGAATATAGATCCTTTACCTTCGGATATTACACATATTAGACGATCAGAGAGGGCAAACAAAGGCATTCCAAAGACCACTTATGAACCAAATCTGAAAGTGAAAGGGAAATATCCCATTAGCAATTATGTGTCATCCCATAGGTTATCTAAATCATATGCTTTAATAATTGATCAATTATCTACTGTACAAATTCCTAATAGTGTGCAGGAAGCATTGGAAGATCCTAAATGGAAGCAAGCTATGAACACTGATGCTCTCCGGCAAGTATACCGATCGCACAAGTAATATAATGAGTAAGTAAAGTATCGTCTCCACAGGGATTGTAAACCAAGTACTACAATAACCAGTCCCCTTAAGTTGGAAAACTCGGTTTGTTGTTTGGAAAATTGTGAATTGAATTTGAGTAACAATATGAAATAAAAATAAAGACTTGTTTTTTTATATTTTTATTTAAGAGAAATAAAATAGTAACAATGAGAATTGATTTTAAAAATATGAGAAAACTATTGTAGCTAGAGCGCACTCACCTTATGATCTCCACTTCTTACTTTGGATTGATTCACAATATTTATTCATATAATTACTTGGATAAATTATTATCTAAAAATATTTATTAGTTAACCCTCAATTCCTTGCAAGGTTAACCCTTTAATCCCCAATTGGAACCCCAATTCCTTGCAATGTTCCTCATGGTATTAAGCAATGAACGCAATAATTTAAGCATCCGCAATTAAATACACATCTATTCCTAGCATGCATACCAATTGTTGTCCTACCCCCTTTCAAGATCAAAAACCCCAATATTCCTATCTAGAGTTCTAACCCTCAAACTATTCCCAACTATCAGATTGATCATTTCTAATAAAGAAAATAGAAAATACGCACAAGGTAGAGACAAAGATAATTATATAAATGAATAAAACTAAATCAATCCATCGTAACAAGGGTTCACATAGGGCTCGTGACCCTAACTACAATAAAAGAAAAC